TGGCTCCGTGCATGCTAGGATGTCACTAAGCCCCACTAAGTCTCAGTTTTCTCATCTGTAAAAGGGGATAACTACCTGCCTCCTGGATAGCCGTGATGATGAAATGAGCTCACGCACGAAAAGCACACAGGCCAGATGTCCAAAACACTGTGCTTGATCAGTGTGAGCTGAATAATTACCAAGAAAAGTTAAAACTGGCTCTTTAAGGGGTACCTACCCCCAGGATAAAGACATGGGTGGAGCACACTTTCTACCCAGAGACAGATCATTTTGGTCTATGTGGCACACACCCATTGGTGCACAGAGGTTAAAGAACAGCATCATTTTTTCAGGACAGAGCAGTAAACCACAGCTATCATTTGATCACACTGAAGGTCCATCAGCACAAGCAAAGCACAACTGGAGCAAAAACACCTCGCTTATTAACCTTATTAACCTCCTCTCTCCCATTCAAAAGCCCACCCCCCCCCACATATAAAACCAAAACAAGGTCCATTTTAAACACCTCACAACTTTAACTGTCAATTAAGCTGAATTTTTTTTAGAAAGCATATCAGCATAAGAGAGTGGGAGTAATGTCGTCATTGCAATAACTGAAATTATTCTGCCTATTTTTTGTACAGCGAATTGTTCACAAATTTCAGAACATCCTTACTAGTCGAGTGAGGTTTTATCCTACCCAAAGGGTTTAAAAGTCAGTATATAACTTCGAAATTGCACATGGCCAAAGTTACCTTTCAAGTCTCTTTAATCACCCATAAAGTATGCAGCTGGTTATCCTTAAACTTAAGACTCATACTCTGGTCTGAGAAGCTCACAGTATTTGTGGAAACTAAGATACACTGACCCAAGAGTTGGATAAAGCGCTTCCTTCTTTCTCCATCTCCCCGGAACACCTTTTGGCTACATTCTTCTCAAATCACACTCCACGCAGGTAACTGAGTGGATGATATAATTCTACTATCACAGATAATGTTCCTCTCAACTAACCTATGCTAAGAAAAGAGCCTCTAGATGTTTGCTTAAAATGGAACTGTGTCGGGCCCTCTCTGGTGGCGCAGCAGGTTAAAGCAGAGCACTAAGAAGCTAAAGCCACTTCTGCGTGAGTTCGATCCCCTCCTGCCCCGGAAGAGATCACATGGCGAGGCAGACCTCTCCTGACCCGCCCGCTGCTCCCCTCAGCAGTGTACTTCCTCGATCTGCCTGTTCTGCTCCCCACTCTGTCTCTGGTGAACCCTCTCACCCTCCGCATCTCTGGCCTGTACCCCAGTTCTATATGAATAAATAAATAAATCTTTAAAAAAAAATGGAACCGTGTCTGTTTCCCCAATCCTAGACTGACCCTGGATCCTCAGCCAGGGAGGAAAAAAGTAAAGGGCGTCCACTTACTTGCAGCCTGGATGCGAGCCTTCCGGCTGACCACCAGCCCAAAGCGGTTCTGAGCCACACACTCATAGTCGCCCTCATCGGAAGGGCTGCCTCCAAGACCCAGACGGAAGTGACGGATCACCAAAGACCCATTGGCCAGCAAGGTGCAGTGGGTACTCTCCAGCAGCTCCATTCCGTTTTTCCTCCAGGTGACTCGAACTGGAGGGGTCCCTTCAACCCTGCAGCCCAGCAGTACAGGCTGCCCAGGGACTACGATATCGTCGCTTGGCTCCACAGCAAATGCCAGTTCAGGGGAGTGGCCAAGACCTGCATTGAGGAGAGATGGTGAAGTTAGTATGGAATGAGTGGCCAGGAAGTATATGCACAGGGGTTCAGGTCCCCTAGATCTATGCATCTTTCTGTAATGCTAAAAGGAGTCCCTCATGTAAACAGCATTTCATGCATTACAAAGTGGTCTCATGTAGTATTTTACTGAATCAGTAGAGCATTTCAGAGAGATAGATATTATTTATATCACTGGCTATTTTATTTTTTAAAGATTTATTTATGCACACAAGAGCTGGGGTGTAGGTCAGAGGTGTAGGGGGTGAGAGGAGTCATGGAGATATAGTGGGGAGCATATCAGTCGGATCTACTGAAATACAGTGCTGAGGGGAGCAGTGGGCTAGACAGGAGAAGCCTTCTGCATCAAAAGAGTCAACTCTGGCCAAGGATCAAACTCAAAAACTTCATAGTGCTGAGGCTTAACCCTTTGTGCCACCAGGGAGGCCCTCATTGGCTAACTTTTTTTTTAAAGATTTATTTATTTAATCATACAGAACTGAGGTGCAGACCAGAGGTGCAGGGGCAGTGAGAAAATTCACCAGAGACAGAGTGGGGAGCAGAACAGACAGATTGACGAAGTACACTGCTGAGGGGAGCAGCGGGTGGGTCAGGAGAGGTCTGCCACACCATGTGGGTCACCTCTGGGGTAGGCAGGGATCGAACTCATGCTGCAGTGGCTTTAGCTTCTTAGTGTTGTGCTTTAACCGGCTGTGCCACCAGGGAGGGCTGGCTATTTATTTTTTAAAGATTTATTATGCATACTGAACTGGGTGGCAGGCCAGAGGTGCAGGGGCAGTGAGAGGATTCACCAGAGAGAGTGGGGAGCAGAATAGGCAGATGGATGAAGTACACTGCTGAGGGGAGCAGCAGGTGGGTCAGGAGAGGTCTGTCGTGTTATATGGATCACCTCCAGGGCTGGAATCCAAACTCACACTGAAAAGGCCACTGTGGCTTTTTTGCAGTGCTGTGCTTTAACCTGCTGTCCCACTAGGGAGGGCCTCATTGGCTATTTTATAGATAAGGAAACTGAAGCACAGAGATGTCAAGCAACGTGTTCAGTGTCTCAGAGTTACTAGTTGCAAAGCCAGATTATAAAGGCAAAACTGATTTCACTGTAGTTGCTACCACTTCTGGTCACACATCTGTAGTTCCTGGTCACTCTGATTAAGCACTGAAGCACCACAGACTTTCAAGGTGAGACTTTAGGTAAAGTATACAACTGTCCTGACTTTCCAGTCCTCATCTGGTTAAATCAGGAACAATACAGGTTGTAGAACATGAGTAACAGTCTCAAAGGTACTATGAAAATTTAAAAGTTCTAAACAAATATAATGTGAGAGTAATAAATGATTACTTCCTCTTGCTAGCAAAACCAGCAGAGCCCTACCTGGTGGCCAAACAGGTTAAAACACAACACTATGAAGTTATTGCAGCCACTGCAGCACCAGTCCAATCCCCAGGCAAGGAGGTGACTCACAAGGGGGTGACTCTCCTGTCTCACCTGCTGCTCCCCTCCCCACCCCCAGCAGCGTGTTTCAGTCGGTCAGTCTGTTCTGCTCCTTATTCTGTCTCTGGCGAATCCTCTCACTCCCCTCCCCCAACTTCTGGCTTACAAACCCAGCTCTTGTATGCATAAATAAGTAAATCTTTCAAAACAAAACAAAACAGCAGAGGCCTGGTCCAATGCAGGGTGTGGAAGTCCAGTATCCAAGAGCACAGGCTAGACTGTGGCCCAGCCCCACCCACTGCCCCTCCTCTGGGATGCTCTGGGATGGGTTGTTTTGCTTTTGTCATGAGGAGAGATAAGAGTACCAAATGTCAATGCAGAATTCCCAAAATTCAGGAGGGAGGTTCCTAGAACCTCTGCAGCAATCCTAAAGTCTCGAAGTACAAAAATGAGCAGGAAGAGATGGGGAGGGAAGAAAAAGGAAAAGAGAGTGATCAAGGAGCAGGGAAGCCTGACAGGAAGCACGAGGGCTCTAATCCCAGGCGTGATGCCAAGTCGCTAACTTCTCCAAGGAGTAATTTACCCTACCAGTTAAAACTTTACTCCAGGAGAAATAAACCCATCACGTCTGAAAGGGTAGCCACCCCCAACCCCTATTTGCAGGGACCTAGCATTCCTGGAGCTGGCCTCTCCCCAAAGACCTTCGCCCTCACAGGCTGGGGGAGATGCGACCCGGAGTGCAGGAGAAAAGAGAGCGCTGGAGAAAGAGAGCGCTGGAGGTGATATTCTCAGACATTTGAGGCTTTCAGCCCTTCAAACTCCTACCTCTGCTTCCCCTGCCCAGCTTTTCAGTTGCCTCAGCTTCCAACCCAACCCAGCCTAGTCACTGGTAAATAAAGTTTCCCCTAGATGAAGACGCGGTGCCTTGCTTCTACCGAGCTGAGGAGAGAATACCTCCCGGAGAAGTGTCTGCAGAGAACTTGGGGTGGGAGGGCAAAGGGCTAGAGTGCACCCTTTTCCCACCAGCTGATTCATTACCACCACTGCGGGAACCGAGTGACAGAGCTCTGGACCGAGAGCCAGCAGACCCGCGAAGCAGGGCAGGATCGCCCCGCTGCACACCGCGAGAAGGGCGGGCACGTGGGCATCCCGCGGATGGTTCGTCCGGAGTCGGCTTCTCTTCCTTCTCTCGGTCTCCTCTTCCCCAGCCGCAGCCCTTGGGAATCTTTCCCCTTTTCCTCGGTCTCTCGCGCTCCCCGTCCCCGTCTCAGCTCCAAGTCCAGGGCGCACCCTCTCCGCCCAGCGCAGCCCCGGGGTCCCGGCCTCCGCCCCTCCGTCTGTAGCGCTCCTGGGGCCGCCCTGGGCCCCTGGTGCCCACTGCCGGGCTCCGCGCACCTCAGTTCCCCACCTCGGGCGGACTCAGCCCGGCGGGAACCCCGTGCGTTTCCTCCACTTCCAACTCCAGCCCGTCAGCCCAGCCCCTGCTTTGCCGCGCTCCTCGCCCTGAAACCAGGGGTCCGTATCCTGCCCCGAGTCCTGGAGCCGCAGCGGACTGAGCCCGGTCTTTCCCCGGGGTTTGCGGGGCGATGTTGCCCTGTCGCTCCGGCCAGCCCGGCCTCGGTGCCCTCTTTCTGGGCTCCGCCCTATCCGACTCGGCCCCCTTTCTCCCGCGAGTCCCTGACGCTCGGGGTCCACTCGCAGGTCCTTGCGGGTCTCCCCAGGTCCGCCCTTCTCACCCGCTGACTCC